GTGGTCTTCTTGCAGGTGCGCGGCGGCTTCTTCAACCTCAGGTCCGCTATGGCGGACTATCACCTTTGGCGGCCACCTGGTTATGGCGCATCAGGTCCTGCATGCGACGGCGCGCGTGGAATAGTGGGTACCAGCTCCGATACCAATGCACATACACTGGATCACCCTGGATATCCCACACGCATCACTCTAACACTCGAACACACACACACACACTTGCTACTAACTACAGCTATGCAGCTATGGCAGCTATCGCTGCATCTTAACCTATCGCTATACTAACTCCCTCTCTCTTGCCCGCTGCGTCCTCCGGGCTCATCCGCAGACCTCCTTGCACAAGTCGCTGTGGCAGCGCTTCCACATGGCTCACGCAGGAATGAATGAATGGCTGGGCGCTGCCTCTTGATTTATACTTCAGAAACTCGTTGGTCTGCCCTTTGCCATCGGCCCTAGGTGCTCACAGTTCCCCTGTGGTACTTGTTGGACCGGACTGGGACTGACTGGGCCTTCCGCTGACTGACTGTGGACTCACCGCTATCCTACCGACGTTGTGCTGCTGTTGCACTGCGGTTTAGTCCACCACTTGCCTCGCCACTTGACCACTTGCCCACTTGCCTACCTCCTAGAAGGTCTACAGCTAAGCTTCCGGAACTCTCTAAGACTTCTATGCTATAGACGTACAGATCGAACCCCTGCTGCCTATGGACCTACGACAGACCTACCAACTGTCTGCGAATACACAGGTCACAGGTTCAATTCTCGGGATCTATACAAATGCTGTACATAGGTAGGGTGAGGTCTAGGGATCGAACCCTGGGTCCTGCATCTGCTACTGCTAAAAGGTGAAAACCGTTTCTCTGATGTTTTCTGTGATAGAATGCAAGATATAGCGTGAGCGATATTTTTCCCTCCCTTGTGAAATTTCAAATTTGAAAATGACCTCATTTCCCCTGATATATAATGCACGCATGGCAGTGATCATAGGTGACGTCCCTTCGCAGCAGCTGATCAAGACCTTTAGGTACAACTCATCATGAAGTATGTTGTTTAGAATCATAGAATTGATATGTATGAAATACTAAAAAAAATAGGTATATAGTACTATATACTATATAGTATATACTATATAGATGAAGCAAAGAAAACTTGTACAATACATGCATGGCAGTGATGATCAGTTACATACCTTCACAGCAGACTTTTAGGTACAACTCGTCATGAAGCAAGTTGTATAGAATCATAGAATTGATATGTACGAAATACGAAATAGGTGTATGCTATACAGATGAAGCAAAGAAACCCTAATGATAATTCGTCTGTAGAGTTGATTTTGTATGGGTTGCATGCGGCAGAGAGTTATTATAGCATCCACGTGATTGTGTCAGGAATTGAGCTCGTGGTCTGTTTAATAATAGCCCGTAGTACCCTTACATGTCGGTCAGCAGGACAATCCTTGAACCCTTACTTGAGGGGGGTTGGTTTGACCTTCTCAGAGACCTCCTTTACTGAAACCACTTCTCTTGTCATGATCAGACAAAGACTCTGTCAGAGCTTTGGGATGTCTACCTGGAGGAAAGCATGGAGTACGATCTACGTAGTGTTTTTTTTTTTTTTGGGGGGGGGGGGGGGGAGGAAGAAACAGGCTCTTATGGGCCTGGCTCCATGGCCACTCTGGGGAGCGTCATCCCAATTACTTTTCCAGTGGCAAGTCCATCAAGGTACAGCAACAATACCCATGCTTCCTTCCTTTAGGGCCAAAGAAACCCTGAACAGCATTGGTTAATCCGTAACTTAATCCTCTTGCAGGAGGATTGGATTGCCATAAAGCCTCTTCCTAATCGGATTCCTCTTAAACCACCAGTACATCCGAAAATGGAGATAGAGCCGCTCCTGAAAAATAGGAGGCCATGAACCGCCGATTCATTTTATCTACCGTTCATGGCCTCCAAATTTTTAGGAGAGGCGCGATCTGCTTTTACATCTGAAAAAGCAGATTGAGCCACTCCTAAAAATTCGGATTCCATGGACCGTCGATAAAATGAATCGGTGGTTCATGGCCCCCGATTTTTTTAGGAGAGGTCCGAGAGGCTCTTTTTTTTTTTTTTCGGGGGGGGGGGGGGGGGGGAGACAATGCTCCAATGAGTCCAATCTATTCGTGGGGAGCTGCACGTGCTGGGAACTGGGCCCAGCGTCCCATTAGAAACATATTCGAGAACATGTACAGAAAAAAAAAAAAAAAAACTTCTTATTTTTTATTTTTTATTTTAAATTTGGTGACGAATTTCGATGTGACCCTGAGGCAAAAGTTGTTCAGTTTAGTTTTCTTCATAACATAGTTTTTTTCGGATTTTAATGTTTTTTTTTTTTTTTTTTTTTTTTTTTTTTTTTTTTTTTTTTTTTTTTTTTTTTTTTTTTTTTTTTTTTTTTTTTTTTTTTTTGCTAAGACCATCCCAGGTCCTTGCACGGCCGGTCCGTCCGGGAAAATAGGGTGACCCGGGCGGCCCGGCTGGTAGCCTAGCAAGGTAACCAAATAGGGTGACCCGGGCGGCCAGGCTGGTACCCTAGCAAGGTAACCAAATAGGGTGACCTGGGCGGCCCGGCTGGTAGCCTAGCAAGGTAACCAATTAATGAATGGCTTGAAACTTTACAGCCTAGGCAGCCTTTAATTTCTTTTTTAACCACATATGCATATCTCAACTCTCATTTCTGCACTCCCCTACCCCGGTTCAAATTTGAGGCTCTTAGCCCTTCAAGGGGTGAATTTCAGACAAGGTAAAAAAGTCACTCCATTGCTGGGCGCATCAGATGTTCCTGTAGCTGGCTAATGAATTCAGCGGTGGGCAATACCACATTTGCATGGATCGTTTTGGCACTTTGCAGTTGGGTTTTGTTGCTTGGTGATGGGGGAAATTGATTGGAGGAGAGATGTAATGGAACGTGTTCTGAGAGCGTGTGAAATTGTGGATTACCAACATGGTTTTAAGTTTTAACTTTTAAATTTGAAGTTTGATTGATTTGGCAGTGGATCGTGGCCATCAATGTGGCTGTTTTAGTAGCTGGCTAATGAGTTCAGTAGTGGGCAACACCACATTTGCATGGGTCATTTTGGCAGTTTTGCAGTTGGATTTTGTTGCTTGCTGATGGGGGAAGTTGATTGGAGGAGAGATGGGAATGGAGCACATTCTGAGAGCCTGAACTTGTGGATGACCAACATGGTTTGAAATTTGAAGTTTGATTGACTTGGCAGTGGATCGTGGCCGTCAATGTGGCCACGTTGAAAGGCAAGGATCCGACGGTGACCGATGACCCTTGTTCGCCTGGGGTTGCAGCCAAGAGATTGATGCGTCCTCTGCCACTGCAACAGAAGGATTTGGGCGATGAAGAACATGGTAATGAACAGCCTGATCAACCCAAAGGAGGGTCCGTCTCATCACTGGTGCAGTTGGATGATGGTGCAAAGGCTGTAGTGGAAGTACCAGTGATGGAGGCAGTGATGCAGGGAGCTCTTGTCAAGCAAGAAGAGCAGGAGGCATTTGGAAAAGATACCCAGCTGGGAGAAGTTGGGAAATGTCTGTTACGCTCAGGCAGTCCAACAGAAGCAGACGATTTGCAACAGGGTGATGAAGCTGACCACATAAACAATAAATCACTGGCTGTGCGAGAGACAGTTGATGCTGTGCATTTGAAGACGGATGAATCGGCTGTGGTACCCGCTAGTGCAATAAATCCTACAGATGGAGAGGCAGGAGGGTCTTTAGCCCCAGCTGAAGCAATCCTTCGCCTTGTGGATTTGGCGATGCCTGGGGTTCTGTCAAAGAATGAAAAGCAGCAGGTAAGTTTCCGTTGCTCTACCTGCTGCCTTCGCCCTCTTTTCGGCTTTTGTGAAGAGGCAGGCCTAAATTGTTGCTTACAATTGTGACCTCTCCTGTCATGGGTGGGGCTGGGGAGAAACTGGAACAGGAAGTGTATATGAGACAGATCCAGGCATTTGCATTCCCGTGCCATCTCCTCCTTCACCCTATCCTCCGGCTCTTTCTCGTTCTGACTGTGTATCCTCAACCTAGCCCCCTGTGTATACTTGTCCTCCTTATCCCTAGTATTAGTATCATTATTCTCTCCTACTCATGGCCCATCTGATCCTTTGTGACCTGGCCGAGGCAAGCTTTTAGACACAGACTGTGGGGGAAGTCTTGTTTTTTGTTTTTTTGGACTTAGGCTTCACATTTCATGTATGGGTGTGCCCACTGAGGTAGGCCCACTTGTTCAATTGTTTGTTTTCTTTTTGTCCCTCTTGATTTGGTATCGCCTTTGACTAGGGGACATCCTCTTCTCTCGTTCCAGTTTTAAGGGAGGGCTCATTCTCCCAAATATTATAGGAGCAAGTGGACCTGCCGCGGCTACGCTCGCGGCGCAAGGTGCGACGGTCCATCTGATGGTCTCATGCTAACATGCAGATGCAAATGAGACATTGGCAACAGTTTTTTGTTGTGTGATGGGTGATACTATGCGGTTTGGGTGGCACCGCGTTGGGTGGGTCATAGTATGAGGAAAAAAGATGGCCCCATGTGGGCGGGGTGGTCCAGCAACGGGTAGGGGGGCGATACCACGTGGGCTGGGTGGTACACAGGATCTCCCAAAAAAAATAAAAATACGCCAATGGGTCATAGTGTGTGGAAAGGATGTCCCTACGTGGGCAGGCTGGTAGAACGTGGGGTAGGCGGTCGAATGTGGGGTAGTGGGGTAACGTAACATGCGCTGGGTGGTGCAAAAGAACCAGCCAAAAAAAAAAAAAAAAAAAAAACACCCAAAGATAAGGACATGGCAGGCTGGTAGAGTGTGGGGCAGGCAGGCAATGCACTGTGAGCTGGGTGGTACAAAGGACCCTCAAAGAGACGCACCCTCGCCCTCCGCCCAAAAAAAAAATAAAAAAAATCCTGGCCCATGTGGCTGAATGGTACATCCGTCTGCAGTGGATGCATGCAATCTGATCCAACATTGAATGTACTTGCCCGACGGTCATTTCCAGATTCACTCCCCATGTTGTGCAGCGGAGCAAGTCCTGAGCCTCTGAGATCTTTGTTACCTTTCGGAGGTCTTTTTCCCCTTCTTTTTCTTTTGAAGTTCTTTTTGCCGTTGTTTTCTTTTTTTCCCGGGTCCAAAGACCATTTCTCAGTTTATGCATGTCATCCTTGCACAGGGGTCACACTAATCGTCTCTGCACCTCTAAGTTTAATGGGATGTCGGGAAGAAAGCGGTTCTTTTTCCCTTCCGCAGCGACCCACACCCGGACTCTGGCTCATTACCCATGTACTTGTATTCAAACTTCAGGCGATGAAGCAAGACGAACAACGACAAAAACTCGGGCACTCGAAACCGAAAGGGCACACACCAGCCGTGTACCTGGACCCCAGCTCCCTACCTGTATGCTGACAGTGTCAACCTCCACATGCACACTGCATCCCCTGTTATTCTGACATCAGGCAGCAAAGCAGAACCGAAATCCGGGCCCGTGCCAGCTGAAACGAATGGCATGCCGCACGGAGAGGAAACAAACGGGAAAACAAACGGGGAAATATTCTGTCGTGGGAGAAACAAGATCTTTTTTCTCTTCTGCACCGGGATAGAGCGGGACTCGAGCTCCTTACCTGTGTGCTGATAGTCTCGATGTCCTTCACATCCACAGCGGACCTGCTATGTACTTCTATTCAAACATCTGGTGGCGAGGCAAAACCAGAAATGACAAAACTCGGACACGTGCCGGCCAAGACAGGGAAGAAACACTCTGCTGGAAAAAAAACGAACATGGGAACACTCTGTCGTTGATCCCTGGTCCGACAATAGCCTGGGTATCGCGTGGGCCTGTTGCTTGAGACCCTTTTTTTTCTTTCATAACAATCCGCCTGCAACAAGTAGGAGTGATGGTAAGAGCATACACTCCTACCTGTCTTGCAGGGGGCTCCAGTCTATTGGTGGGGAGCTGTCACCTGCTGGAAAACGGGTCCAGCATCCCCTGAGATACAATATTCTGATTATGGGTCAGCACGTGCTGGGAACTGGGCCCAGCGTCCCTCCTGAGACTATTGATGATACGAAAAGTGATAGTGATGATGATGACGATGATGATGATGATGATGATGCAATTGAACTCAGATTATGTCAAGAAGATAGACTACCACAACAAAACAGTCCTCACATTCCCTGAATAAATCCCCTCTACGAGTCACTAACAATCCGAGGACAGAATCATCCCAACTAATACCCAGCATGGCTGTTGTGTCCTTACTACTGAGACTAACCTCAGCCCCTTAGGATGTCTCAGCAGCCCCCCTCAGCTCGCCACTGGCCTTGGCAAGCCAAGAGGATAGAACCCCAACACCCAGCAAAGAACCAGTCAATCACCTCTGAAATCTCGCAACCAATACACAGGAACACCAGATGTAGCCCAAAAATTCTGGAAACAAGAATTGCATGTCGAAGCCTGTCTGTCCTGGATCTTTAAAGGCAGATGTCTGTCTCCCAGTTACAAACATAGCACTGTCAGTGGCACAGATCATCAAAAAAGATAGACACCTCCATTCCAACCTGTCCCGTCATTGCCTCCGCTGAAAAGGATCGTCTATGTTATAGACTTTCTACATCGACCCTAACTCAGAACAGACCCACCCTCCCGCATCAAACCTCCAGAGGTTTACAGTTACACAAATCTGCCCCCGCTGGGGTTTGATGCTTCTCCTCACATCTCCCCCAGCCCCCGAATAGAATAACCCCCACTGTCAGCTCACACCCCCTTCAGGGTATTCAACCGACGTTGCGAAGCCCCCCAGAACAGAATTGATTTTTTTTATGGAGAGAATGATCACCAGAAAATTACCTAGACATTAGTAATCTGAACTTTATAGCTTGAATTAGTATTTTAAAATTCCAGCTATATTACTGCTATCTAGGCTGGGCCGTCGCCCGGCCAGGCATGCCCGGGCCAGCTGGGCCGGGGGAGATCGCCCGGCAAAACCAGGCGGGTCAAAAAAGAGGGAAGGATCTCCCAAAAAAAGAAACCGACTTCAGGCCAGGACTGCGCTCGGCCTGAGCAGTCACAATCCGGCCTTACCTTCCATTTCGGTGGTGGGTCACCCAGGAGTCTTTGGGGGGTATAAAGTTACTCTAAACAGTGACTAGAGGGGTTTAAAAGGGTATATCTTACCTCATTGCTCATTTATGTTTATCTTAAAATTAATAAGGAATTTCGAGGGGACCCTCAGCCAAAAGTTGCTTGTACTGCAATTTTATACGGCATTTTTTTTCCAGATTTTTTTGATTTTTTAATCTTTTTTAATATTATGCGCTGGGGCTGCCCAGGACCCTGCCCGGCCACTGCCCGGCCTGGACCGCCCGGGAGGGTACCTTTCCCAAGCCGGGCCGCCTGGGGACCAGCCTAGACTGCTATAACATATATTACTAAGAAATCAGTGGGAGAAAACCATCGCGAAGGAATTTAAGAATTAAATAATCCAGAAATTTATCACTGGGAGTTGAGGTACATATACCATGGTTGCCCCGGACACGGACATCCGGACAACCTAACACATGAACCGGACCCGTGTCTGGATTGAACCGGATGTCCGGTTAACTGGACATATAGGCAGACATACGGGCAGCCGGACCCGGACAGTCCTGTTGGGTGAATCAGTGTCCGGATGTATGGATTTGAATTAAAAAAAAAAAAAAAAAAAAAAAA